AGCAGAGGATACAGTGAATCAACCTTTATGAAAGGAAAACAGATAATATCATCTCATAGTTCACAGCAACACAGTGTCTGACCACTCATGAAAAGAATCAACTGTCAAAGTGGCATGCACATGTAAATGCTAGTTGTATTTTTCAGTTTTCAACAGCAGCCCTTAAAGCCACAGCTGAACTATGGCCACAATAATAATAATAACATCTGCTTCTTGTTGCATGAGGGCCCTGCATGTATATAGGCTCTCTAAATCCAGATGAAGAGCATTAAAATGATCAAAATGCTTTTACTGTCACGGTTTACAGTGGCAGACCATGTGTTGGTGAGTGGGGACCCAGGTGCAGACACAGGCGAGGAAACCAAACTAACTTGAACAATAGGCGAGCCTTTTATTACGGCTTATAATCAGGTCAACAAAACAAGGGAGTACGCACAGAGGCAAAGCTAAACTGGGCAAGCTGAATACTGAGACTATGAAAGCTAGGAAGGCAATGACAAAGAGACTGTGAAGACTATGAACAGGACTTTGTGCAGGAACATGAAGGAACTATGAACTCATACACAAACAAGCAACATGACCTGCACAGTGTCCTGAAACCTGACATGACATGAGGGCTGGAACACAGACAACGCAACAATGAACAAAGGGAGACAGAGGACTTAAATACAAACATGAGGTGATCGGGGGAAGTGGAGACGCCAGAGGAAACAGCTGACACAAATGAATCATAATGACACCACAGGGGAAGAGTAAAATTAAACACAGTAACCATAGAAACACAAGATCTCTTCAAAATAAAACAGGAAACATAATGAGACAGACATGACAACACAAACTTGACAACATAAGACATGCAGACTTGAAACACATGAAGGGCAAGGAAGACTAAAACACAGCGGGAGAAGACATGAGTGGATCTAATGAACAGAGAACTAAAGGCTGAGCAACTTAGGAGCTTAAGCAAAATAGATGAACTTAACATAAACAAAGAATAACAAAATACAAGGACTCAAGTCCCAACTTTTGCAAGCAATCTGGATCGGATTAATTAATTTTTGCTTTGGGTCTTCTGGGATAGACTCCAGGCTCCTCCTCACCCCCTACTACAACCACTCACTGAACTGGATAAGAGGTAGATGTTAGAAATTTTGCTCTAAACATAGAAAACAAATAGGAGGAAAGGAATACACAAAATCACCTGTCCAGTAAGCATGTCACAGTGTGTGGAGTGAGAGAACCCAAGTGCAGAGTTTAACAAACAAAACCAAAAGACACATTTATTTAGGGTGATACATTTACTAAAATCAAAAGTCCATAAATGTGACTAATATATAAACTAATATATAAACTAAACACAAGGAGAACTGGAAGCACTAAAGGTTACTCAGAATACAAAGAGGAAACACAGACAGCCAATCAGGCAGAACAAGCTGTACAGCACAACAGGAAATGGAGGGAAACTGAGGCTATGAATACACAGAGAGAGAATGGAGTCAAAGGAAGTAGAAATATCTGAGGCACACGCATCACAGATCACCTTAATCCAAATAATGAGGCAGAAAGGAAAGTAAAACAACACAAAAGAAGGAACTACCATAACTGAAACTCGGAAATAAACAGTAAATGTGAATAAACTACACAGGAAAACAAGGGGAAACACTGAAGGAACTTCTGAGCGGAGAGTAATGCAAAGTATTAGTGGGACCTATAGAGGTCTACAAATTTAGAACAAGTCTCAAACCACTATAAAAATATTAACATCTTTCTCTGTTTTCAAACAGACTTTAAACAGTTGTTATTAAATTGTGTTTGATTTCAAACCCTATGTGGTTAACAATCCTTCAAAGCTTGCACTAGCACTCTATATGAGATTCAGACCATTGTTTTCATATCTACATACCGTCTAGCTTAGTATTATTTGCATGTTAGGATATTATATTAATCTGAGGACATTTTACTGGTTTATCTTAGTATTATAGTATATGTTGGTAAATATATATGCATTTGGTTTATATCTGATGTTCGGGGTTGTATTTATAATCTGTGATTAGCTTTTGGGCCCAATTTCAGAAATAACTATTTGTATATTATGGTTTTTGAATTTTTATTTTATTTTTATTTATGAATAACCTGAAGCTGATATCAGGAATGCAGACATTAATTGAAGCTAACATATATCAACACCTGAAGGTTTTTAATACATAGAAATCAAAGTAAAAACCTCATGAAAAGGAAACAGACTCTAGAACTGAGAGGCTCAATAGTACAAGTACATAGTTGAGCTAAGAACAAAGACAAAGGAACCAATAACACAAAATTTTCACAACAAACTAAACACTGTACAAGGGAAACAGGGAACTACAGTAGTAAACCAAAGACCAAACCAATCGAAATAATAATAAACCAACCCTGACTGAATTAATGCAAAAAGTGCAAAAAACTGAAAATCCTGGGTGCAGGATCAAGGATGATGGAAGGAGGAGTGAGAACAAATAAGGAGTAAAAAGCAATGCAAAAATAACGCTATGTTAATTTTTCTTGAAATCAACTATTTTGGAATGTTAATTACATGAGCAGCCTCGACCTCAGCTTCTTCTTAGCTTCTTCACAGTGCCACCTTCAGACATCTCAGGGCTAATTTTATCCCCCCACTGACATGTTTGCCTTGATTGGAAACGAAGAACTCCACAGGTCTGCTGACATGTTTTTAAATCAATCCCTGTTCTTTCACAGCCAAACGGTCCCCGGGTCCTAGTGTCCTTCTACGTATTCATTGTTTGAAACATAAGTAAATTACTGCCAGTTGATTTTTTTTTCTCCCAAAAATTAAATAATAAAATCAACCAAGAATAATTTCAGAAAAGAAAATTAAATTAAATAACTCATTAAATAAATCTAGTTAATTTCAGCAGTTTAATTAAATAGAAAACCATCTACAAGGTATAACAAAAAAGGGCTGGTGTACAGCAGCATGTGAGGAGAGATAAAGGGAGGAAGAAGAGTGTTCACCTGTTGACTTCATGTAAACGCTGCTACTGTAGCAAGACATAAAATGCATAAATGCTGCATCATTTTAATTGTTATCCATCTTAAACATGCAAATAAATGGATTAACTTAATTATTCTGTGAGTTTAAGGAAGTATTTTCAGCTGTTTGTTATCCCTCTGTAGTTTAGTTTGTAGTCGTCATGTCTGAATTTGTCCACTAGATGTCTCCCTTTGCCCACTTTTTCTATGTGACAGCTCTCTACGCCCATGATGAAACGTTTTCGTCAAGGCTCTCTGTTTAATGTTTGAACCAAGTTAAATTGTGTGCTCTTTACACATTTGCTGGTTCTGTTTCGCTGCTGCTTGTTCTTCTTAATAGTCTTGATGTTTTTTAAACAGTCTGTCCTGAAGCTGAAGAAACCAATTCTACAATGTTAGATGATACAGCTTCAGAATAATAACTAAGTAAAACTTCTGCAGCTTCAGCAACATCAGTAAAGAGAGATTTTAGTGTCTGCAATATCACTTTGTGTGAGTTTATTCACAGGAGACATAACGTGAAACACTGATGCTGCATTCAGGGATCGTGTAAAAGACGGTAGAGAAGATTTTCCAGTTCACAAATATCCTAAAACACTTTGCCTGTGGTGGTTTGAGAGTGATAGTTAGTGTGAGCAGATGATATAATCAGAGTAACAGAGCAGGAAAGGAGTAGTGATGTTCAAAAGATCAGAGAGTTATGGACGTATGAGATTATGGAGAGACTTTTAAAATTAACATGATCTTTTACAGGAAGCCAGTGAAGCTGTTGAAGGACAGGAGCTTTATGTTCTATGAAACATCTTTATGTTACTGCTGTGTATATTCACTATCCCTCCTCTGCAAACGTGAATAGTGTTACAGAGTTGAAAAGAGTGTCTGACAGGATCTGAAGTTTAAAGTGAGATTAAACTGGAAGGGAAGTGCAGTAGGTTAGGGTGATTAAGGATAGAGCTGGAAATGCACTAATGAGGGCATTTCAAATGCTCCTGAGAGGAGTACTTTTATTAGGTTCACCGGGAGGAGGCCTTGTCTGCTTAGGCTGCTGCCCCCGTGACCTGGCCCTGCATGAACGGAAGAAAATAAATGGATGGCTGGAAAATAAAAAAGAGAGGACAGATGGCAGAGAGACAGTGCATGAGGAAGTGCAGGAGATTGGTAAGGGGCAGGTTACAGCAGCTATGAAGGATAATGAGTGGAAAAGCAGTTGGTCCAGATGACATAACTGTGAAGGTATGGACGAGAGAGGGCAGTGATAATTACTTTTTCACACAGGGGCAGGTAGGTTTGGATAGATTTTTTACTTAATAAATAAAATGGACGTTTAAAATTGCATTTTGTATTTACTCGGATTATCTCGGTCTAATTTTAAAATTTACTTGACGGTCATGTCACATGATCGTGTGTCAAATATACAGAGTGCAGGCAGGGTGGAGTGGGTGGAGATGAGTGTTAGGGTGATTTGTGACAGAAGGATAGCTGCAAGAGTTGAAAGGGAAGGTTTAAAAGATGGAAGCGAGACCTGCTTTGATTTATGGTTTGGGAAATGTGACACTAACTAAAAGACAGAAGGTCAAACTGGAGAAAGCAGAGCTCAAGGTGCTCAGATTTTCATTGAGAGTTGCCAAGATGGACAAGATTCATACATCTGATGGACAGTTCAGCTCAAGCATTTTGGAGGCAAGGTTAGAGAGGCAACATTGAGATGGTTTGGGCATGCGCAGAGGGCTAGGGCAGAGGGAAAGGAAAGTTAATGACTAGAACTTTAAAGGAGGAGGAAAAGAGGAAGAGAACAGAGGACGTTCACAGATGTGGTGAAGGAGGACATGCAGTGGGTTGGTGTAACACAAGATGAATCAGATGTAAGCAGATGATCTGCTGTGAAAATCCCTAATGAAACGATACGCACAGCATATAATAGCTGTGTGTATTGTTTTTATGCCAGGAATTACTTTTGAGAAGCGAGAAGATGGTTTTAATGGTTTATTTTGTTTTGCAACAGATGTGCGAAGTTTGACAAAACAGTAAAATTCAGTAAAATTCCTCGTTTCAGATGGAGGATGAACTGTGGGGCTGCACCAAGGTGCAGTATACAGTATATCAGGTTCATTCTGACCGTGACTCATGCAAAGCTCCTGCAGTGTAACAAGTTTCCTGTAACCAAAATACCATTATAAAATTTGATCTATGGTAAAAACACTTTTCCCATCTTGTTGAAAAAAATATTAAATCCACATTTGCACAAAAGGTTTGCTTCTAATCATTTCAGTTGGTTACTTCGATGCATCCCTCTCATTAGACTGCACATTAAACCAATAGAGTAAATATATTTCATATCAAGCAGGTCAAACCCTATGTTACTGAGTTCACATCAAATTCAATACAAATAATTGTTGACATGATCACCAAAATTGATAAAATTTTCATGCAGTTTGAACTGTGAACCTGCTGCTAAACAAGAACTATAACACAGACGAGGACATGTTTATTCAAATAGTACAAAAAAGAAAAAAAAATCTGCTTCTACATTTATATAAAAAATATCAGTAACCAAGAAAAATGTGTGAAATAAGGCAGAATTTATGTTTCCTTTATATTTTAGATATTACTACTCAGAAAAATATATAAGGATTACTTTTAAAACTTTACTTGAACTGCATAAAACTCATAACCATTCAACACACACTGAAGGTTAATTTTCATTAATATGAATAGCTCGTCAAGTCCATAATGACGTATTTCTGTCCTATGTGTGGCACTTTCTTGCTAAACTCTGAACAACTGAATTAAAAGTTTTCCATAAAAAGCATGAAGTTCATCTATCCTTGATTTTCTATAAGAAAGGTATTTCTTAAAACACAACCTACATCTACAACTTATGTTTGTCATGTCTACAGCCTAAAACAAAACAACAAAAATAAATTCAGACAAATATAAAATCAGGGTTTCCGCTACATCAGGGGTGTCAAACTTATGCCCCACAAGATAATTATTGATTATCCGAAAAACAGCAAGTGTAGTGATACAGGACAGGTAGACACTGCTGCCATTCATCATAAGAATAGGACAGCAAATTGAATACATGATCGGTACAGTTCGTTAATGTTATGGAAATAAAATGCATATGAGATCAGCTTTTTAAGTGAGTGGGACACTTAACTAGTGTGACTTTTCATGTGATTTTTCAGGTTTGTGGCATAACTGAATCTTTTGTCACAGATGCTACAAGAGTGTGGCCTTTCACCTGTATGCCTTCTCATATGATTTTTTAAGTGTATCATCTGAATAAAACTTTTCTCACACACACTACAGGAATATGGCTTTTCACCCGTGTGAAGTCTTGTGTGAGTTTTGAATCCTGTTAAGTCACTAAAAGTCTTCCCACAGGTGCTACAGGAATATGGTCTTTCACCTGTATGGATTCTCATGTGTCTTTTCAACCCTGATAAGTCACCAAATCCTTTCCCACAGGTGCTACAAGAATATGGCTTCTCACCTGTGTGAGTTCTCATATGTCTTGTCAAGTGATTCACCTGAGTGAATCCTCTTCCACAGACACTACAGAAACGTAAGTTCTCTCCTGTGTGAACTTTGAGATGACTTTTGAATTTCAACTCATCACTGAAACTTTTTCCACAGGCACCACAAGTATGTGGTTTCTCACCTATGTGGACTCTCACATGTTTTCTGATTGCTGATGAATCACTGAAGTTTTTGCCACAAGTTCCACAAGTATGTGGCCTCTCACCCGTGTGAATTCTCATGTGTGTTTCCAGTCCTGATCGCTGAGTGAATCTTTTGCCACAGGTGCTGCAAGAATATGGTTTTTCACCTGAGTGGATTCTCATATGATTTTTGAATCCTGAAAAGCTACTAAATCTTTTCCCACACTCACTACAAGAATACGGCTTCTCACCTGTATGTTTTCTCATGTGTGTTTTCAAGTTTACCCTCCGACTGAATACATTCCCACAGTAGGTACAGGGGAAAGGTTTCTCACCGGTGTGCGTTCTTAAATGGCCTTCCAATATTGATTTTTTTCTGAATCTTCTCCCACAGGTGCTACAGGAAAAAGGCTTCTCACCTGTGTGGATTGTCATGTGACTGTCCAATCCTGACTTCAGTGAGAATCTTTTCCCACAGGTGCTACATGGATACGCCTTCTCACCTGTGTGACTTTTCATGTGACTTTCCAGTCCCGCCTTTATAACAAATCTTTTTCCACAGATGCTACAAGGAAATGGCCTGTCACCTGCATGATGTTTAACATGAATTTTGAAAGGTGATAAGAAAGTAAACTTTTTCCCACAGGTGTTACAAGTATATGGCTTCTCACCCGTATGGAGTCTCATGTGAATTTTCAAGTTTACCATCTGAGTGAACCTTTTTCCACAACTGCTACAAGTATAAGGTTTCTCACCCGTGTGAACTCGAGCGTGTTTTGCTAAGTGGCAGTCAAACCGAAATGTTTTTCCACAAGTGTCACATTTTATAGGCTTTTTGTTTGTATCAGTTTTACCCTGACTCTCTGATTCGAGAGAGGTGTCTACTGTGTTACTCTGACTTCTATTTGTCTGTTGTGATGTGTTCTTCAGCTCAAAATGTATAATCAATCCTGAGAGCACATGCTTGCTTTCTTCCTGTTTTTGGCTTTCAGTTTCAGAAGACTTGCAAGAAAGGAGCAGGTCAGTGTTTGCTCCTGGAGTGACCGTAAAAGTATCAACCTCCTGCTTCACTGCAAGCTGCTCTCCCTCCTGACTGATGCATAGCTCCTCCTTTTCATCTTTAATCTGTGGGGGCTCTGAGTCCTGGTCCAGACTGGAGCTCCTCTCCTGGTTACAGACCTGCTGGTCTATGAGTACTTCTTCCTCCTTACAGTCATGTTGTAGTGGGAGGTCTGCATAGACAAAAATGATAGAAAACACACACATATTTGAGAAAATATCATGTAATTTGCCATCGGAAGTTCAGTTATCCAGGTGTAAAAAGTTCTAAAGAGTAAAATCTATTTATTACATCCTCACGAAAGCCCTTAGCTGTAATCCTCCACTCTGCAGTAATATAGTTTTTTAAATCAGTATATACCTATGTATTTCTCGGACACATTTTAGATTTTTCTCTTCTACTTATTACTTTTTATATTTCTTAGGGGTGAATTTAATGCTTTAATTGCAATTAATTAATTTGAAAAAAGAAACGCGTTAAAAAAATTAAAGCATTTAATCGCACTTTGCGTTCCAAGAAAATCGCAAGTTTTGTCCATGTCATGATTTCCTGGTATACGATTACACTGATGCAAACAGCTACAAAAATCGAAGACTCAGAAGAAAGCATGCTGCTAGGACTGATCGCAGGCAAACTTCATTTCCAAAAGACTACTAAGTAAAGCCTTGATAAAAGTCTGGTTTTGTGCAAACTGTGCACAAAGGAGTTTGCATACCACCAAATCACTTCAAGCTTACAGTACCATCTAAATGCAAAACATGTTGCAGCGAGCACAGAAACTGTGGGAGCTGTTAGCTCCAACAAAAGGTGCCAGCAGCCCAAACTTGATGAAATGACTGGCTTCAGGACCGACATTAGTAAGTCAACATTGGACAACATTTAGCATCAGTTGATCCAACTTTCCACCTGAAAGACTATTCAGGTAAATTCAACAGCTTTATGACACTGAAAAAGCAAGCAAAATTAGATGCATTACACACAGTCCTGCTAATACGATGGAACTACACCAGGAGCAAACATAACTGGGGCAACAAAAAGAGCTACTCATACAGGGTGTTTCCACACAGTGGAATTCAAAGCGGGATATGGTTTCTTGTCTACTAAAGAATCAAGAGGCTGTTTTTGCTGCTTTAGACAAACAATCAAATCAGACAAACTCATCTGAGCCAATAAAACTCCAAAAGCTGACTGTCCTCAAGTCATGCAAGTAAATAAAACTATTTTCAATTTATTGTTGTTGTTTCTTCAAAAAGCTCTATAGTTGACAATTAGTGTGTAGATTAATATTTACTTTCTTGAACTGTCTACTACAGGTTTGTGACTGAACTTCTTAGAGGTGAGACATGTCTCATGTCCAGTGGTTTTACCTGCTTTCTGCCATCTGCCTCACACCATGGAGGTCTCTGATGATGAATCAAACTACATGGTGAAATTTAAAATCCTTCACAAAGGACATACCCCAATGTGTAGCAACACTCAACCATCAGTGGCTCAAGATAGCTACTGTGCTTGACCCACCCTTTAAAGATTTAAAGTGTCTTAAAATGTAAAGATGCCACTACAAAGTAGCCAGCAAAGACAAAGAGCCTCCTCCTCTCTTCATTGTCTTCGGACTCTGATTCAGATGAGGAAGCCCTGAGTACCAGGGCCCTGAGTTTGTACAGAGCAGAATACACCATCAGTGAAAAAGACTGACCGCTGCACTGGTGGTCGAGTTGAGCAGGGACCTACACATACAGCTGTATGTCCTTGCCACGTGAGAGTCCCATGTGAGAGTGTTCCCCACTTGCAGGTCACATAGTAACAAAAAAGAGCTGACTTGAGCTCTGAAAATGTGAACAGGGTAGTTTGTCTAAGTAACTGGCTGAAAGAGACAGACAGCAACTAAGCATAGAGGTATTGTGACTCCAATAGGTTTGTTGATTTTTGCACGAAAATGTTCAATGATCACACTGTTTTAGCCTAATGTACAAAATAAAGGTGAAGCTGGTTAAATAACCTTTAATGTTTCTGCCTTATTTTTTTATTAAGAAGAAAAACTGCACTTTATGTTGAAGTTTATATTACTATTTAAAGACAATACGATTTTGAAAATGTATTTAAAGTACTTAAAATAAGGCTTTATTTTTAAGTCTGTTCAAGTTCTTGTTTCTCTGTTTTGAATTGAAATTCAGTTTAAATACTTTTTTCTCTCAGATATTAAGAGTTTGCATTTACAGCATTCATCTCCATGTCCATAATTTGATTCTGTCACCCACTAAAACCCTTTTAAATTCAAAAAACCCAAAAAACCCACAACATTTGAGCTTAGGGGAAAATTTTCTTGTGCGAGCAAATGCGATTAATCAAGATTATTTAATTACAAAGCCTCTAATTAACTAGATTAATCTTTTTAATCGAGTCCCACCCCTAATATTTATTCATTTATTTAGAATAAATTGTACAAAGTTGCTATACGTTTTAATGCATCAAGCAGGAGTAGCACTTCTTTTTTGATATTTTTCCACAGTACAATGTGGAAATTTTTACAGCCTTTTTAAAAAAAAATTTAATGTGTGGGCAATAATAAGTCCCAATTTTTAATTTTTAAGGGATGGAAACAACATAAACTAATTATTTGAACTCCACTTTCTGCTTTTATTTGGATAGAAACCTCAACTTTTTCAGGGGACCACTGTTGGCGTTCCTAAGCAACAGTGTCCTGGGTCTACCCCAGGGACTCCTCCCAAGTAGGATATGTCCAAAACTCACTGCCTAGAAGGTGTCGTGGAGGCATCCTTTAAACTGTATAATGTTAAACAGGCTGCCTGGAATTATTTTGTTGTTTTAGCTGTGGAGGTGTTATAAAATCTGCTGCGAGTATGTGGTTTGTCCCTTTTTTAGGACTACTACTTCCTTCAACATCTGGTAGTTGTTTTTCTTTACTGTTTGCTATAACTGTGTAATAACAGAGAATAATAACAGGAAAACACAAAACAGGAACATGAAATTTTACAGATTTTTACTGAATAAGGTACTCAGAATGTACATGAAAAAAAAGGATTTGCAATTTGCAATTTGAACTATAAAACAGACAACAAATATGTGAACTTTCGTTTGTTTGTTTCTGGGGGTCTCTAATTTTTTTTCTAAGCAAGTCCAGACATTTTTGGCCTCTGGTGGAACTCCAAAAAGCAGTTCCTTTCAAGCTGCAGGCAAAGGCCTACATTGCACTGCTGGCATTTCCAAGGAGTGCTCCTCTTACAGACAGTGCACTGCTTCCTTCCCAAGGTTGCCCTGTGCCTCTTTCCCATATCTCTAGTGCTCGTAGGGACAGGAAAGTGTCCTTGACTTGGGAACTCAGGCTTGCCATCCAAGCAAACACCTAGGAGGTGTGCAGCAAGCTCCTCCTGGAAGGCCTGCCGTGTCTTGTGTTTCTGTTGCTTGCTGATGCACAACTCTTTGTGAAGAATGAAACTGTTGGTAACTGCAATGTCCAGTAGATGCTGGAAAACTATCATGTTCAATCTTTTGGTTTTGCAAAGGACTGAATTTGTTCCTAGCATCTGGTCTGATGTGTCCACTCCTCCCATGTATTTATTGTATTCGGTCACAGCTGTCGGTCTGGGGACAGAAACGCTCTCAAAATGTCCATCTTCATTTTTCTGACACTGTGTCCCCACTGTACACAGGGTGGACGGTGGTACAGATGGCGACTTCTCAACTGTCCACCCACTTTACAAATAAAAGGTCACCATCCCTGATCCACCGAATGGAGCCTCTTGGTGATCTTTTATGGAGAGCATTTTCCTGAGAGGATGGAACACCCAGTCTGCCCTCCCTGTATGTACCACAAGCCCCAAATCCCTGCTTTTTCAAGTGTTGGAAGAGGCCTGGGCTGTTGTAGAAGTTATCACAGTAGACAATATAACCTGATCTGGTGAAATGTGTCATAGTCCTCTGTGCCCTTTTTCTTGCCATAGGCCACATCTTCTTCTGGATCACTGATATGAAGGTTAGAATTGATGGCCATAAATCGGTCTTTGGACATAACAGTGGCAGGAAAAGGAACATGAAAAATTGTGTTACTCCTCCAAATGTCTACCATTTTTGGAAAATTGCAGACTGCCATGTAAAGTAACAAACCCAGGTACTTTTGTAGTTCTTCTGGTGTAATTTCCTTCCATGCAAACGTTTTGCCCTTTTCCTTTTTTTTGCCGCATTCTTGTTTGTGTTTTCACACAAGCATTTTAGTACTTCGTCATCAAAAAATTTGGAGAAGATATCACCTGGGGATTGTGCAGCATTGAGAGGAGTTTGAATACCAGGGGTTCTCTTTGGTCTGAATCTTGGTGGTTGAGGGACAGCATCATCTGGGTCTGCCTCTGTTCTCCAAGCCACTGGACGATGTGGCGACCGGCTGCGAGAGGCATCACCACCAGCTCCACGGCTTTTATGATGTACATGGCACCGGCCTCGACTTTGGCCACAAATGGTACGAATCCCTGCTGAAGTCCTCAACATGAATGAATGAAATCCACCCCACCCCAGCAAAAAAAAAGAAAAGGAAAGAAAAAAGTTTCTGTTATACTTGCTGACCCTCTTTTTTGTCAACCAACCTTCGTTTTCACAGGGTTGCGTTCACCCTGTGCCTGGGATAATGAACCTAATTTCAATAGAAAGTGCAGACCCTCTGCTTTCAGAAACTGTTGCCATTTTTTCAATTGTGTGAACAGCTCAAAAGTTACGGTAGGTTGAAAAAAACCTGTCACCAGCGACAGGTTAGGGATTAAAGGGTTTTAAAAGCCTGAGGACTTTAAAGTTGCTCCTTTCAATACAGAGGTGGAAAGGCACTTCTGGCCAAACTCCTAATTTCTCTAACATAGAGCCCATATACCCTTCAGAAGATGCTCATTTACATTTCCCATCACCTCCTCACAACAGATATAACATGCACAGCAAAAGCAGTACGGGTTCCCCTTCAAGTCTCCCGCTCCACTCTGCCTCACTTTCTGAACATTTGAGATATCTAACTTCTTCCACTTGCAGGCGCAACTCATCCCCGACGCAAAATGGACATTCACCCCTTTCTGGCTGAGAACCATGACCTCATTTTGAAGGTGCTAGTTATCTTTCCAAACACTTCACACTTGGCTACAAATGCAAGTTGGATGATAAAACCAAAAATAGTCACATCAACTGTGAAGAGCAGAGAGGAGATTCTGAGGCTACCAAGGCAGAAATCCTATGCCGCTTTGCAATGCTAGAAATTCTGTCACTAAAAATTATGATGAGAACTGGTGACAAAGGGAAACCCTGTCAGTTCAACTCCCACCAGGAGTAAACATGAAACCAAGCTGTCACCACAGTTGCACCGAGTCCAACTCCTCTCAGTTCCCAAGATGGTTTTAGAAGGACTAGCAACATCACCTCATCTTAGATGGTTTTCAGATTTTCTGAGAAAAATGCCCAGACATCAGATCGATAAAAATAAGCCATTGAAATTATTCAAATTAAATAACCAAAGTACTGTACTCAGACTGGATAAAATGCTGTAGTAAAATCTAAACTTTACTCCAGGGGTGGGGGAACTCAAGGGCCAGTGTCCTGCAGGTTTTAGATGTGTCCTTGATCCAACACAGCTGATTTAAATGGCTAAATTGCATCCTCAACATGTCTTGAGGTTTTCCAGAGGCCTGTGAATGCACTAATCATTTGATTCAGGTGTGTTGACCCAGATTGACATCTAAAACCTGCAGGATACTGGTGTTCTGCCAAACCATCCTACTTTGGCAAAACATCCTACCATAAGTAGTTTATGCACATTTCTGCTGTCACAGAGTAATTCCAGCACAAATTTAAGTAGGTATGACTGTTTGCCACTTAACTTTGCCCATCAGAGTATGCTTGTAGCTCATATTCATAAAGCCAGGATGGTTTGTCACTTCATTTTACCTGTTAATGTATGCTTGTAGGTAACATTCACAAAGGTAGCATGGTTTGTCACTTAATTTTACCAGTCAGAGTATGTTTCTAGCTAATATTCAAAAAGGTAGGACGGTTCGCCACTTAATTTCGTGTTGTGCGCATGCGCAGAAACAACGGGTAGGATGGTTTGTCAGGTACAGAACACTGGCCCTTGAGGCCTGGAGTTCCCCCACTCCTGCTCTACTCATTGCAGTTTTCCCTTAAAATTTTCCTGTGCCTGTAAACAAATAAGAAACTTTGAGCTCTGATTAAGGTCAAAGTTATTAAGATTCATATTCCTGTGTCATCTCATTAAGAACTTTTTAGTTGTACATACCCAAGTTTTCTTTTGGTTTCCAGATTTTATCCAGAAGACTGAGCCGTTCTTTACCAGTCCAAACGATGATACCATCAACCTCCTCCTTCACTACAAGCTGCTCTCCCTCCTCACTGATGCAGAGTTCCTCCTGTTCATCTTTAATCTGTGTAGGCTCTGGGTTCTCCTTCTCCAGACTGGAGTTCCTCTCCTGGTTACAAACTTGCAGGTCTGGGTCCTCCTTTAACATCATGTTGTTATCAGAGGTTTCCTGCTGATCTGGGTCCTCCTTAATCATCACGGTGTTGGAGGTCTTCTGTTGATCTGAGTCCCTCTTGCTGGTCATGTTGTTGTGGGAGGTCTTTGGGAACAAATGTACACAAGAAAAAGGTTAGTAATGTGATGACATAGTACAATGCAGTAAAACCATTGGATTACCTCTAACAGAATTAGATTTTAAATGTGGGAATACTACACATATGTAATTAGAGTCAATTTTGCATCAAATGTTCTCTGCAGTTTTATAAGAGACCATTTTTAAAAGATAGCGATGAGGTCATAGCTGTAGTGATTTACTGAAACATGGAAAAAATACAGAAATAGTGTATACATGGAAAAAATGAGCCTGTCTTACTCTAATAGCTTAAAAATCAATATTTGTGATAAACACCTTTATTCTCAACTCTGTTAGTCAAGCGTTCGCATCATTTCGTAGTCTTCAGGAATAGTTCTTCTTGAAGGACACTTCAAGCTTTTCTTTGGATGTTGTCTGTCTTTTTGTGTTGTTCATTGTCAAGAAGTTCCTACACTGCTTCACTAATACTGAAAAATAAAGCTCTGCTAAGACACTTCTTAGATGTTCTTTTCGTTTTCCTGATCTACTCGGTAAACACTGATAAGAACTTGAGCCAAACCTTTTTTTTTCTTACATTTGGATTCATTACTCGCTTGATGACTCCCTCACTAACAAGTCTCATCATAGGTGATGCTTGCAGATGACAAGAAAGCTCGGCTCACCATTCCCACTAGCAGTGTTACTAAAAAAAATGAGCTCATATATCCCACTGCCACAGAAATAATAGAAACACTTGGGTATGAGATCAAGAACACATGCAGAGAAAGTCCCCTGTGGAGAAGAAGGTTGGAAGCCAAAAATCAGGGAAGCCCAGAGGGGGTTAGTCAGCTAACAGAAGTACTGAACGACAGGTCCTGGATGAATAAGATATACAACAAGGTGCAAATAACTAAGGTTCTAGAAACAAAAGCTCACACCTCTCGGCACTAGGCTGAAGAGACAAGCAGAGGCCAAGAGAATAAATTGCCTCTTCTCCAAACATCAGTCCAAGGTGTATTCTCAGCTACAAGGGAACAATAATAAGAGGGCACCCAGAGCTAAAACTGAACAATACTGAAAGAACATCTGGGAGAAAGAGATGTTGTATACCATGAGCGTTAAGTGACTTGTGGACCTGACAGCAGACCACGGCAACCTCCCAGAAAAAGAGGCAGTCAACATTATGGACCTGAGGTGATCCACACCTACTATCTGAAGATGCTAACAGCACAAATAAATGTGCTCATAACAGCAGGTACTCACCCAGACTAACTAACACAGGGCAGAGAACGCCACCATTGAGCTACCAGCTGATTACCTGCGTCTACACAGCATGGAAGCTCATCCCAGGTATCATACCAACCTAGCTAAATAGGTACATGAGTCAACACATAAGTGCATCTCTAAAAGGAGTAAGGCAATACTTTATCGATACAGGGACACTAAATATTGATACGTTATTATTATATAAATTATCTTATATATTATCATTATTATTTTTGCAAATACAAAGTGAACCTTTTAATACTGGGATACCGTATTTTCACGACCATAAGACGCACTGTACTAAAAGGCGCAGTCTCAGTTATGTGTGCCATTACTGTATTTAACACACACATAAGGCGCACTGGATTATAGGGCGCATACAAGTACCGTATGCGTATTTAAAAATAAAGCGGGAGCAAACCTGAGTTCGGTACCTTACTCACATTTTATTACCAGTAATCGTCATCATCAACAACACACAAGCATACAAGTGTGCGTATTTAAAAATAAAGCAGGAGCAAAACAAAGTTTGGTACTCACATTTTTATCATCAAACCCATCGAAGTCCTCATCCTCTGTGTCTGAATTGAACAGCTGCGCTAAATCTCCATCAAACATGCCAGGTTCACTTTCTTCACTGTCAGAGTCACTTTCCGTGCCGTGCGGCTCCTCGGAAATGATGCCGGCTTTTGCGAAAGCTCGAACAACAGTGCCAGCAGACATGTTAGCCCAAGCATCTACAATCCATTGGCAAATTGTGGCGTAACTCGCCCGGCGCTGCCTTCCACTCTTGGTGAAACTGTGGTCTCCATCGGTCATCCATCGCTCCCAGGCCGCTCGCAGCCTTACTTTGAACGGGCGGTTCACACCGATGTCCAGCGGTTGGAGTTCCTTTGTCAGGCCTCCCGGAATGACAGCAAGCTCACAGTTCATTTGTTTCACTAGTTTTTTCACATCGGCTGTGAGATGGGCACGCATAGAGTCACAGATTAAGAGCGATGGTGATGCGTGGAAAAAACCACCTGGTCTCCTTACATACACCTCCCTCAGCCACTCTTTCATCATTTCCTCATCCATCCAGCCCTTTTCATTTGCCTTAATGATGATTCCTGCTGGAAACTTCTCTTTAGGCAAAGTCTTTCGCTTAAAAATCACCATAGGCGGCAGTTTCTGTCCATTAGCATGGCAGCCAAGCACAACAGTAAAAGAGACTTTTCATACCCCGTTGTGCGTATCGCTACCGTGCTGGTCCCCTTCTTCTCCACAGTGTGACTCACCGGGATGTCGAAAGTGAGCGGGACCTCGTCCATGTTTGTGATGTGGCTGGGCTGGATGTTTTTGTCGCCGATGTGTTTGCTGCAGTAGGAGCGGAAGATGGCCAGCTTTTCCTTATAATCCGCTGGAAGTTGCTGCGCTATCGTAGTCCTGGTCCGGATGGAAAAATGGCACCGTTTCATAAAACGAAAGCACCAAGACGGACTTCCTTGAAAATGTTCAATGTTCATCTCTTCAGCTAGTGAAACTGCTTTTAGCCGAATGGTGACCGTCGAAACGCTTCTCCCGCTCGTTCTTTGCTCGATGATCCACCGCTCGAGTCTTTCCTCCAACTTGGGCCACCTCGCCTTATGTCCGCGGAAACTCAGCTGCGTTTTCTTGACCTGCCGGAGCTTGTTTTCTTGCTTCCTCCATTTGCGAACCATTGATTCGTTAATCATAAATTCTCTCGCCGCTGCTCGATTTCCATGTTCCTCCGCATAGCTGATGGCCTTCAGTTTAAACTGTGCTTCGTAAGCGTGTCTTTTTGCCATTTTCAGGGTTGTTAAAACAACGATGTCCTGCATAACGCACATACCTGTTCTTTTACACAGGTATGTGCGATAAAGTCAACGCACACACTTCACCCTTTAGCGTTCTCATGGTGTTCTCTACTACGTCCTCATTACAACACACAGGGCGCACTGCGCTATAGGGCGCGCCGTACTTTTTGAAGAAAATCTAAGACTTTTAAGTGCGCCTTATGGTCGTGAAAATACGGTAATAAAATCAGTTGCTTTTCAGTCTGTTGTTGCTGTTCTAGTGAGTACAGCAGCTCAGGAAGTTGGCAAAACAAAAATGAAAGCATCAGAAACAAATCACGTGTGTGTTTGTCTGTGAATGAGAGAGAGAGAGAGAGAGACTGTGACAGGCAGACAGATTTGAGACACTGTGGCTTTTGCTGCATGTTTAAGACACTGGAGCTCAGGCATAAGTCACTGCCGTGTGTTTTCATGGATAAAGCCAAATTCAGGTTCTAAAATGAAGTAGAAATAAATGAAGTGTAAAGTTGAGGATAGCAGAAAGATTAGCATTATCTTGCAATGTGTGGACATCGCAGATTCATATGCAACTATGACGACTCATATCACAGGGAACTGGTGACTGCTGTCTCACAACTGAACTAAATCTGCAGTTCGAAAAAAGTAATATATCACAGTTTATCTTATTAGAATACTCAGCATATCACAAAATGTTACAAATTGTCTTAGACATCGTATATACTTGTATGTTTGTACAAGTTTCAGTTCATCACTGCAGCTATGACCCCAACTTTCCCTGTAAAAAGAAAAAAAATTGGCATCTCATTAAACTGTACAGGTTTAGAAAAACTCATCATATATGATATCTCATAGCCTATGTATTATATCCCTATATTTAAATTAAAATTACATGAATTCTGCTCAAGGTTACAGTTTTACTATATTCCTTTTCAGGTTAACTGTATGGTTTTAGAAAAAAGTAAAAGCAAGGTCCACTCAAATCACATAATGTGTGAATATTACCATGTCTGAACTGCAGTTACATTAGTTTTCACAATAACAAACACAACTGCAGTGAGTATCGATTCAGGTTAACCCAGACTCCGTTCATGGTTATCATCTCCCTATATTACAGTACACTTTTCTGTTGTCACTTTATTATACAAAACAATACACCAAACAAAGTCTTCTCAAATAAAGTCATTTCAATTCAATTTATATAGGAATTTAAATGATAAAAAATAGTTGCCTCACAGCGCTTTATATTGTGAGGTAAAGACCCTACAACAGGGGTCTCAAATTCCAGCCCTCGGGGACCGGGGTCCTGAAACTTTTCCATTTGTCCTTATTGCAACTTACCTGAATGCAATTAGTAGGTCATTCGTAAGACTATAGAACTTTACTGTATGCTGATGTGGCAATTCAGCCATTTGATTTGTGTTACAGGAGCTCATGAGTGAATGAACATGTTGCAATAAAAATACTTTTAGTACATTTTTCCAAACACTTACATTTAAAAAATGTAAGTGTTTGGCGATCGTGGCTCAAGAGTTGGGAGTTTGCCTTGTAATTGGAAGGTTGCCGGTTTGAGCCCCGGTTTGAGCCCCGGCTTGGACAGTCTCGGTCGTTGTGACCTTGGACAAGACACTTCACCCGTTGCCTACTGGTGGTGGTCAGAGGGCCCGGTGGCGCCAGTGTCCGGCAGCCTCGCCTCTGTCAGTGCGCCCCAGGGTGGCTGTGGCTACAATGTAGCTGGCATCACCAGTGTGTGAATGTGTGTGTGAATGGGTGGATGACTGAATATGTAAAGCGCTTTGGGGTCCTTAGGGACTAGTAAAGCGCTATATAAATACAGGCCATTTACCATTTACATTTACTTAAGCGGTTAGGGGTTGCCACTTCAGCATGCAGTCAAGTTCTATACTCTTGCTAATGCCCTTATAATTTTATTCAGGTCTGCTGCAACAGGCAGGGACACATGGCAAAGTTTTAGGACACCGGCCCTCAAGGACTGGAGTTTGAGACCCCTGCTCCACAATACAGAGAAAAACCCCAAAAATCAGATGAAAAAAGTAACGTGGAAATTACTTCTCCATATTCACAATGCTTTTAATTTTAACTGCAAACAGAAAGAGCTGGATGAACATTTTACAACTAATAAGGTTCTTAAGGATTTCCTGTATTTACAGGTCTCAACCTGAATAGGAATCCAATCCAATCATCAATTCAAACTGCAACTACAGTTTATAGATGGTAACATTATAAACAAGGCAACATAATTTACATAGATTTTGACTCATTTTTCCTTAAATAATACAGTTACGAGATACACTACTACAAGCCTTAAATAGTTTAATAACGTATCATGAATGTATTAATGTATTATAACGTATAATGTAAAAAACTCCTATACGGGACAGCGGAGCAAAACGATAGTTCTGCAAATAAAGTAAAATAAAGACAGTTTCAAAGTTGCAGAATGAACGCGTGTTCCTTTGTGCTAGTCACTCGGCACCCGTACCACAATGTCGGGAATAGAGGAGCAGCACAACTGAAGGTGCGGCTTGCTTGACCGCGACTTCTCGAATAAGGGTTCCGGGCAAAATTACCGCTTTAAAAAACAGAGAAGCGCTTGTTTTACTTCTATAAAAACGATTCGATGCTGCTCCTTGATTTTAGTCTGTTAGCCTGAAACAACAAATCTGACTAGGATCCTGCATGAGTCGGATTCTTGTGTTAGTTCATTGAGACCGCTACACTTTCACGTACCTATTATTTGCAACTTTATCTCGAGTTTCCGGTTAGTCTCTACCAGTCTGTGCTCACGGTCGATGTCGTCCTCATACTGGGAGATCGTTTCTGAAGATCTGAGAAGATTTCGTCTTCGGCAGCAGCTAATCTCTCCTCGACAAACTCTTACCGATGCCGAAGACTGAATTGTTGAGCAGCAAAGAGGCAAGTCATTTCCGTTCTCCTTCTTTTTCTTCTTCTATTGTACTTCCGGTAGAATACACGCATCAACGTCGCATTGCTGCTCTCTTCAGGTCAGTTTGAAGCTAGTCCTAAACTAAATTAAATAGCTGACTAACTAATGGTATGTCCATACATTTAAAAAAAAAAAAAAAGAAATGTCAATATCTGTAATATCACGCTGTCAGATAGTTCATAGGAGTCATGACGTGTAACGATGGTGTTGGATTCAGGGACCATGGGAGAGAAGAGATTATCAAATATCCTAAAACAGTTCAGTGCTACAATCCATTTCAGCCTCCATAAAAAGACAACAACTAGAAGATGTCACGGTATCACCCATGATGTTTGGTTAGCATCTGACCGCTGTGCTGTGCAGAGATGCCAGAACAATGATGGAAGGAAAATAAAATAAAAGTAAAACACAGATTTAAATTGATGAAAATAGGAAAGACCTCAGTCTATTTCAGTTTAACAAACTCAGCAAAGACATCAAAATTGATTGAGTTATCATAATATAGACTAATCCAGCATAGAGCGGCTGAGTGAATGTGGTCTGGACTCTGTGGAGGAGAGTCATGGTTTCAGAGACGCTGTAGAAGGACAAAATACCTGCTCTGTGATCCAGGTACACTCCTACTCTGGAGGAATGAGGACCTGAGACAGGAGTTTGGATGTTGTTGTCCCAAAAAGTGTCACTGATTTCATCTTGTAATCGGAAGGTTGCCGGTTCAAGCCCCGGCTCCGACAGTCTCGGTCGTTGTGTCCTTGGGCAAGACACTTCACCTGTTACCTACTGGTGGTGGTCAGAGGGCTTGGTGGCGCCAGTCTCCGGCAGCCTCACTTTTGTCAGTGCGCCCCAGGGCAGCTGTGGCTACAATGTAGCTTGCCATCACCTGTGTGTGAATGACAGAATGTAGTGTATAGCGCTTTGGGGTCCTTAGGGACTAAGTAAAGCGCTATACAAATACAGGCCATTTACCATTTAATGACTTAGCGCCCAAAATTTGTCATTGTGTCCAAACCAGCATTCATTCCCTGTTCTGCTGATATTCTTGTATGCAGCTACTACATAAACTCCTATGCCTCTCCTTTCCACCTCTCAGTAACAACATCCAGTCAAATTTTCTCCGCTCAGGATCTGCCAGTGTTCAGTGAATCTGTCTGGATAAGGCTTATTCATTACTATTGCTTTTCTGTGCCCTTCTGATAATAAGTTTGTGTGCTGTGTTTGGATCCAGTGTGATTTCACATAAATATTTTAAGAATTCAGCTCTGGTCTTTGCTTCTGGTGGATCTGACAGTAAAACATTCACTTCAGTGACTGTCAGTAAGACGCAGTGTTGGGGAGTAATGGAATACCACATCATAATGAGGCTGAAGGTGTTTCTCACAGTAAGATGCCAAAGATACTAAAGAGGACTTGAAGGATTTCATTTTTCTCCCAGTGCAGACATCACAGGCCACATCTTCAGGTCCAGCATAGCAGTGATCAGCAGGAGCAGCTTGGAGTCCAGTCTTCTTCAGCTCCTCCACTAAATCTGCTAACATGGTGTTTTTCATCAGGACAGGCCTCGCTGTGAAAGTCTGTCTGCACTGAGGGCAGCTGTATATTTTCTTCTCCTCCTCTCCATCCCAGAATCTTTTAGTTCAGTTCATGCAGTAGCTGTGTTGACAGGGAATAGTAACCGGATCCTTCAGTAGATCCAAACAGATCTTGGTCCAGCTGAACTCCTTTCTGCGCCATTTCTCCTCTCAGTGTCAGTGACTGTGTGAGTTTGTTTTCCTTATAACTGAAACTAGTCTGAGCTCTGATTGAAACAACATGTGAATGGGGCCTGTCAACCCTTACACATAAACACATTTTGGTTGCACCTATCTTCAAACTGGAGAGTTAAAAGGGAGGAAACGAAGAAATGTGTAAACAGAGGAGGTGCTGATTTAGACAGCAGCTTCACTGTAAGAAGTAAAGCAGTATGAGAGAGAGTGGCCATGTTGAACCATTTCTAGGACCTTTTTAAAAAAAAAATTTAAACCCTTTATAAAAGTTTTGTGCTACATTTGCTACACTTGAAATGCCTTTGACCCCTGTTTCTAATAGACCCTTGTTAAAGGTGACTATTAAAGCTGAAATTGAACAGAAATTATATGAAATGAAATCTCTGAGGATTTTTTGAATAAAAATAGCATATTTAGAATGTAACTTCAAGTAAAAAGTGTATTTTAATCTTTGTCCATGTAAGTTGAAACACATAAAATCCCAGCTCATTTGGCTGCTTTGATTGGAACAAATCATGTTTCAGATTTTTACTGACAAGTCAAATCACTTTTTTTTAATGTACCACATTTAAAAACAGGAATGTCTCCAGTGTGTTGTATTTCATGTAGACTGAGGACCCCAGATGTAGAGTCTGGGATTACATGAAAATCTTTTTATTGAAGGTGACCCAAATCCATGAACAAACAGAGAAAAACGAGGGAAACATTGGAATTAGGGAAACTGCAGGAAACATAATGGCCACGACGCACAGGAAACAGTCTGAGGGGAACAGGATGGTGTGACAAAGGGCTAGGGGAAGACAATCTGTTTATCCCCTAGCCTCTTTTCCTTGACCTCCATATTGTTTAAATGGAGACAAAGGTACGAAGGAGAATTGATAACGAGTTAGGAAAAGAGAAGAGTGGTGCTGAAGTCGAACGCCCTTACGTGATGTGTTGCGCCATGTTAAAACTACAAGAAGACAGACTACATAATGTGCATCTTACTTCACCACAACATGTTCAAACCCTGTTAGTTTATGTAAGTCATATAAGTGAGAACAACATGTGAAAAATATCACATCATTAAAAAGATTGAGATTTTAAAGAAGGTACATTGAAGGCCTGATTCGCTAACATCTGTAGCAGTGCAAAGTCTTCTTTTGATACTATAAAGCTGCTGGATTCATTAAAGAGCTTCTGTTTCAGTGACAACGTTTTAAACAAGAGTATTTTTGCAGTTACCCTGATGACATGTGCATTTGCAGGTGTTTTACTTTCAGGACAAATATATATCAATATATCAATAACACATATAATAACACAATAATTTAAAACTTGTTTTGTAAATCTGTCCCATAGCCTAATAAATTAAACATGGAACAGTGGAACTGCTTTCCTCCTTCTTTCCTCCTCCAGCCATGGTCTGTGTTAGTGCCAGTGTTTTTCCACAGAGCCGACAGGTCCCCCTCTGGGAGGAGCCACCGTGTTCCTGCTCTCACCTGTGGGTAATTAAGCTGTTGACTTATAAGGGCAGCGCTCTCAAATTCTTTTTACCAGATTCTCAGCTAACCACAGTTAGTGCAGGCCATCAGTGTGTTTTGTAAATATCATAGTAAATTACCTTGAACCTCTCATTCATAGCTACTCACCAGATTACCAGATACAAATCTTCTCCATAGAACCTGCATTCGGACACTGGACCTCTTGACAGTCTTCATAGTCATGGTTTTTGCTCACTACACACACCTGCCTGCCTCAGCATCAGGAGTTTTGGATTCCTTATCACTCACCCAGACCACTCTCCCCTCCGTGCAACTGATCCACTTGCGGCAATTAAGCAGCTAAAAGGAACATTCAGAACCAATAACTGCCAGCATTGTCCTGGAACCATTTACTCTTATTTGTCTTTGTCTCTTATAGTCTCTCTTGTTGTTTGCATAGCTCAGGTTGCATAAGTGCTCCATAGTTTTGGCACTGTTCATGGCACAAGTTTATACTCACTGCCCACAGTTCACAGTTGAATAGCCTCGTTGTATATACACTTGTTTTGTAAACTAACTGTCACTTAATCGTTGCCAGTGCTCCGTCTGTGTCCTGCATTTGAGCCCTTTTCTCTCGAGTTGGCTACGGCTGTCACATTCCTCCAAGTTTAGGATTTCTGTGACTGCAGTAAATTTCCCTCCGTCCATCGCTTATCCCACAATGTGATAGGATTCTCTTCAACCATGATTGAAATTGATGTGGAGGAGTGGCGACATGCTTTAACACGTAACACTTTAACAATGACTGACTAAACAAAACTCTCCTTGAAGAGGTCACTAAGGTGGTATCAGATCTTAACATTGTATTGCTGATTATTTTCTCGTGGGTGGTGATTGGAACAAATGAGTGATGGATAGATGTCCCCCAAAATTAGGGAAAAGCGACACAATGATATGATTAATTTATTAATGGCTTTATAATGGATAATAATTTAATAGATGCATGGAAAACATTAAATCCAGTGCTTCAGCGGCGACACAGAGATCACAAACAGCACATGGAGTGGTACAACACAACAAAGGACAAAGGAAAGCACGGCTTAAATACACAAGGAAGTGCCGAGGGAATGGAAAACAGGAGGGAAACACAGCTGGGACTAATTACACATGATCAGACATGAGGACGCAAAACTAGATACACTGACATAGGACATGAGACCATCAAAATAAAACAGGAAACATGAGACAATCACAAAGACGCAGACTGGAAGTTGAGGCATAGTGACACAACTCAAAACAAACATTTGCTTCCTTCTCTCAACTCCAAATTAAGTTCCTTTTTCCTCAGTTACATTTTTATTCTTACTCCTAAATCAGAAATTTTGTACTGGAGTACATCTCTGAATTTAACGTTAACCTTAAAAATCACATTCTTTTTTTTTTTATCTATTCCTGGTGCAACTAATATTCAAACATTTAGTGTCACGGTTTGTTAACGTTTTTTCCATCCGAGTTACTGGCAGCCATCTCAGCGAGGCCTGTGCCAATATGTTGGCTTCCCTAAAATCAAATAAAGGAGAGCCTGTCTTGCATTCAGAGCCGTTCTGAATGCAAGACAGGCCGATTCAATTTAAAGATTTGTACAGACTTCATTATTCAAAGACTAAACAACAAAATATTTGGCAAACAGTGACACTGACACACAGACAGAAAGCATAGCTGGCAGGGTTTTCAGTTGTTTATTTTTTAAAATTCAACTTTATTTATATAGCACCGAATTACAACAGCATTTGCCTCAAGGCGTTTAAGGACATGCATGAACCTCTTAATTTCACTCAACAGTCAACATGAGGCAATGGATTGGAACAATGACCTCATATTTTTGTTTTTCTCAGCCAAGAGGATATGTAAATCTCCACATGCTCCGTCCTCATCTTTGTCTTTACGTGTGTGCAGAATTTCATTTTAAAATATTTCAGTTAATTATCATATTCATGTTGGATAAAATCCATCCATCCAGCTTATTTGGGTTAAAGGGAACTGGACCCTATGGTCGATTCCCTTTTGCTAAAGCGTTTATTTAGCGATGGATCAGGTGACAATGAATCCTCATTTAGTTATATAGCAATAGGCTGCTGAGGGATTCCCATGATTCATTGAGGGTTTCTTCTTTAGTCAACTTTCGCGCTTACTATGTGTTAATAAACCTGCATTGAAACATTACTTGTTATTAATCTGTGGCTCTCTTACACATCATGCCTTTTGTCCTGTCTTCCTCCCCTCATCCCAACTGGTCGCAGCAGATGGCC